ACAACGTTTTAATTTCGATTTCATTGTTATATTTATTAAAGTGCTTGTTTTTTATGTTCAGTACTATGGAGTGCCAAAAGTGCCAAAATTAAATATATAGTGAAATAATTGTAAATGACACATGTAAAAAATTAATAATTTCTAATGGTAGATATAATTCATGGCACATTTAATTAACGATATTTTTATTTTCCATTTTAAATAATTCATGACACATTTAAGTAATAATTTATCTTTATATTTCCCATTTTAAACAATTCATGACACATTTAATTAACTAATTATTGGTGTATTTATTTATTTAATTTTGGCACTCTTAGCCCTCCATAGTACTGAACATAAAAAACAAGCACTTTAATAAATATAACAATGAAATCGAAATTAAAACGTTGTAGTACGGTTTGGATTACTTACCGTGGTTACCAAAGTAAACGAAGGATGTCTTCTCTGATTGCATTATACGCAGGAAACTCTCTCTCGTGAGCTCTTTCAATTTTGAAGCATTTACTGTAGTGCAAGGCTTCAGATGCAGCCCCAAAGATAAAACCAAACACACGTACCACGCCATACTACAAAAGATTAGTATTGTAGTATTACAGTTTATATTAAAAGAAACACAAAAGAATGAATCGGTGATATCCCATTTGCACAGTACTTCTAGTTCTCCCTTACAAAGCAGATTGCTAACCCTTGAATATTGTAATGGACGGTTTCGTGTTCTTGCCAAATGTTTAACATGTATCTTATCAATTCAGTTCCTTTCGTAAAACATTTCCGTAGCTACCCGTTCAACATAGCACTGCTCAAGGGATTTAAAAAGGACTCCGTACTAGTCCAATGACAACCATATTACAACGCCTCCCTAACTATGGTTATTAAACGTTTCATTTTTCTTGCCTAAAACGTTAACTTCCGGTAGCGCTGCACTCTGTGGTGACGCATTTTGACGTATGTCGCAAAGTACGCGGGGACTTCTTAAAACCAAGAAGAGATACACTACATCTACGCAGTAATATGTGCAGTCTTCCTCGTGTTCGATGTAAACGTTTGTCGTCATTGATGCTGTGCATTGTGGTCTACACACTTGGACAACGACCGCTTCTATGCGGCATTTGCCAAAGTGTGGATGAAGTGCACTTGGTTTATTCGAGGAACGAGACACCAGTGAACACTTGCCCAAGGCGCACCAAATAGATGTAGCTGGGTCGTGCAAGACACAGAACCACTACATGACACGCCCAGTACACGACACACCCACAGGCACGACCATAACTAGCGGAAAAGTTATTTTTCAAAATAAAAGTACAGCCATAGGCAAAACCATAGTTTACTATAAGAAGTAACTGGAGAATATAATATATCATATATATGTTCATATAATATATATAATATTCAATATATTGTGTTATATGTATGGATGTAATGTATCCTATGAACATGTAACCACAAAACCACAATGAATCGCATGTTCCTATTTGTTCTTATTACAAAGTTGTGATACTTCCACTTGACTGGTGGTGTCTTCAATTATAAAATTAGATAGCACTCTGTATTCACCACAAAATGTTAAAAATGACATAGAAAGTTGATAAGGCAGAGACTTAAAATCACCGTTACCTGTGTAAACACAGTATTTGTGGTCCCCTCCAGAACTTAACAAGCAAAGAAGACATGTTTGTGTTCTCAGAACTCACTATTATCATATAGATACTGCAGTCATTGTCATGAATAGCACAAGAAATTAAACACAATAACACTGACAATAGTGCAGTCTCAAGATACCCCTTTTAGTCAGATTAATAAACAAACAAAAAAGAACAACATACATTCTATGAAAAGTAAAATTACCCATAGGTTGTGTATTCACAGTGCATATTACCCTCAGAGACACAAAGGCACAAAAAAAATAAAAAGAGAAGAAAACATAACAATAATATCTGCAGTGGATAACAAGAACCTGTCCATTCTGCAGTGTCAGGAATAAGCTCGATGACCGCACACCAAACACGAACCATGCAGGGTAAAAAATGAGGCAGGGCCCCAAAGACTTTTATTGGGAAACCTCAGGGTCACATCAGTGCCATTGATATTCCATGGGTAGGCTGAATCAATTAATTTCAGATCCATCTCACATGTACTTCGCCTCACACAGATGTGATATTTGTGTGATCATACTTTTCTCAAGACACACCATTCCCCTTTCCATAGTAGCCAAATAAAAATATGGAGATCTCACATTATCTGTTATCACTTGTCCAAAATGCTGGAATACCCCATCTTGGACTACTTCCTTCATTAGAAGGGGAAAGCCTCCACTCACCTAGAGAATAAATCAATGATATCCAAACTGTAATGGCAACCTCTACATGGTGTTAATTCAATAAAATCCATCATCAAATGATAAAAAAGGACCCTCTGGCATTAGCTACCTTGTTCTGCGAACACACCATGCATGGGGGCTAGGGCTGGTCGATTTATCGATTTCAAATCAAAATCGCGATTTGAAACAACGCGATTAGCAAGTCGCAAAGGCTGCGATTTAGGATATTCATTATACAGCACGTTGAACCCAGGGTTTAAAACTGCTGTGAGAATAGTTTTACAAATTCATGCCATGCTCCCCATAGATATATATATAGAATGACTAGATGTGTTATGACGAGGTCTAGAGCGTCCGCACAGGTCGGCCATCTTACCACAGGCTGGCTTTCTGGCGGGATCATTCGAACCTGAGGTAAACGGAGGTAAGGTAAGTGACCTGCACAAACGTTAATACTCTTATCTCGCTGAAATCTTGATGGATTTACAAACTGTGTGTTTTCTTACAAACATTATTAACGTGGTTATAGTTCTGGATGCTTGAACATGTTGAAATCGCAGCTTTTCTCCTCGAAAAAAAAAACTGACTTAATCGTGCAGTTTAGTTGTGTATCACGCCTAGCTAGGCTACTAGCTATCCAGTAATTTGGGGCGAGGCAGAATTACGCTTTCTTTTCAATATAATACACACATTATAAACATGATTTAACTGAATTTACACATGATTTACTGTCTGGTTGGTTTGTTAAAACGTCTTACATTATGATTTCTACAGGAAATTGCTGACAAGATGCCAGACTTTTGTGCCGCCTATGGCTGCTGTAACCGCCGTTGTCTCGAAACGAGAACCCGAGGGATCACCTTTCACCTGTAGGATGTTACAATATTATGAATTATTTTTAGGATAATCGTTAGTTACTTAGTGGAAGTATGTACATATTACATAATAGTATTGCTAGATTGTTGTTGACACAAGGTTTAGAATATTTTGTTTAACGTACATAATCACTGAATGTTTGAATATAGTTTGTGTGTTTATCTTATTCTTGAAGTACATACATACATGCTTACATACAGTTACCCCAACATATGATAATCTAGGTGTTTACTTGTGTCCTTGGCCTTAAATGGAAAGATGGATTTAAAATGTTGACAATAATTGATATATCTGGGTACATTTCTCACTTTTGTAAGGTTTCCCAAATCCAGAGAGAGGAGGAGGAAGTGGGAAGTTGCCCTAAGAAGGGACGGTTTTGCTGCCACTGACAGGACACTGATCTGCAGTGAGCACTTCAAGACCGAGGACTTCGACAGGACCGGGCAGACTGTGCGGATTAAAGATGGTGTTGTGCCATCCATTTTCAGCTTCCCAGCACATCTTCAAAGGGTATGTCTATCACTGACCAAAAATAATTTAAGGTGTATAAGACTGATATATCAATATACACGTGATTAAATCAGGGTGTCCGCGCAGTAGTAAAAGGTAGTAAAAGGTAGTAAAAAAAAAAGTCCAAATTAAGGCCCTTGAAAGGTAGTAAAAGGTAACAAACGAAATTTGACCGGGTAGTAAATTTTTCTTCTCCACCTCAATATATTCCATTTGTTCTGAATATTTCTGTTTGCGTGTTTAACTTCATCTCATGAATAAAAAAATATATATATATATACGGTATATACAGTATAGGACCTGAGTGTTGATAGCCTATCAGATTGGAGCTTGTGGGATTGATCCAATCTAACGTGTGTATGACGTTAGCAGAGTCCCCGACACTAGCTAGGTGACACTCGGCTCCGGGAAAATACGAGGAAAATGGGGAAATGCAGGTTTTCACAGACTTGGCTCGATGACCCGTTGTTTAAAGATTGGCTTAAGCCGGTCATGGGCAATGACAGAGAAGCATTCTGCAGTGTGTGCAAAAAAACAATAAATTTAACATGGAATGGCGTTACCGCGGTGAAATCACACAGTGCATCGTCCATTCACCAGCAGAGGATGCGGGTGGGGGGGGAGCAGCTCCCTATTTTGATGTTCAGCCATGCACAGACAAGCATAAACCCCACACAGCCTTCGCAGCAAACCAGTAGGCCTACCACGATTAGTAGCACCACTATGGCTGCAGTGGATCGACAGCAGACTTTACAGGTACCAACGTCGGCTCTCAGAGCTGAAATCCTGTGGTGCTTGAATACCGCGGCAAACCATCATTCTTATAATTCCAATGAAGGGGTTGGGGAATTATTCGCTACTATGTTCAGTGACTCTGACATCGCGAAAAGCTTCGCTTGTGGCAAGGATAAGACTTCCTACATGATTCGATTTGGCATTGCGCCACATTTTAAGAAGCTACTCATAAAAAGCGTAAATGATGCAGGGCCATTTGTACTCATGTTCGATGAGTCTCTGAACCAGGCGGCGAAAAAAAAACAACTGGATATCCACGTTCGGTTTTGGAAGGATGACCGTGTGGCTTCCTCATACTTTGGGTCACAGTTCCTTGGACACGCAAGGGCTGAAGACTTGCTGCAAAGCATCAAAGTAAGTTGACTTCTTATCGTAGGCTATTGTACATTTTATGGTTTTCAATTAATATCAACATTAAAAATCACATTTAATTTGGTCAGAGAATGAAAAGTTGGTTTGGTTTGGAGTTGGTGGGTGGATGGGTGGGGGGCTGGGGCTCTCTGACCCTTGGGTCCAAGGCCTGATTTCCATATCTCATGTCTGTTCATGTTACCACTAGCTTGCAAACCATGCATGAAATTTAATGTAGGAGTGCCATCTACTGGACAGTAAAGTTCCTATAAATAATTATTTCTTACACTCATTATTCAGTCCTAATTCAACTCATTTAACAAGATCTTGGATTCCACACCTTACTTCTGGGACTGTGTGTTTTTGGTGGAAAGGTCTATAATTTACAGATTAAATATTTTGTGTTATATCTGAAATATGAATATTATAAAGAAAAGTCATATTTGCAGATACTTACGGGGACATGGGCTAGGCTACAAACTGTCTAGCAGAGTTTTATGAATAATTAAAAACTCAGTGAAAATAGTTATTTTAATAAAATGTTCTTTTGTGACAGGAATGTGTTACACAGCTCAACTTGAGACACCTGCTGTCTGTCAGTATGGATGACCCAAATGTCAATTTGAAAATGTTGGAGCTCCTTCAGAGTGAACATTCAGAGCTTCATGGGGATGCACAACTCATCAATGTTGGCAGTTGTGGCTTGCACACCCTTCATAATGCCATGAAGGCTGGATTCACCACATGGCAGGTAGACAAGCTGTTGCGAGCCTTGCACTACATCTTCCACAATGTTCCTGCACGTAGAGAAGATTTCACCAGTGTCACAGGATCCTCTACCTTTCCCCGACCTTTCTGTGGCCACAGATGGGTGGAGAATGTCCCTGTGGCTGAAAGAGCTGTCGACATCTGGCCCATGCTTTCAAAATACGTTGATGCTGTTGAGAAGAAAAAGGTGCCAAACCCCAACACAGTGTCATATGACACAATTTTGTCAGCACAGTCTGATGATTTCATCATAGCAAAGCTGCAGTTCTTCTTGTCGGTTGCAAGAAGCTTTGGCCCATTCCTGACGAAATACCAAACAGATGAGCCTGTACTGCCTTTTTTGGCTAAAGACCTGACAGAACTCCTAATGGTAATGATTAGTTATTGTTGAAATTTATTGACTCATTTGAATATGATTAAACTGCTATAGTTGATTACTAACAGTTATTTCTTGTATTGTTAAGGGTTTACTGCGGCGATTCATGAAACAGGAACTTTTACAGGACCGAAGCCCCCTGCAGCTCATCAAAATTCAGGTATCTGATGAGAAGAACTGGGTCTCTATCAAAAGCGTGGACCTCGGCCTGGGTGCTGAATCTGCCATCAAGGTAAACTTGTCCTAGTCTCACTTCCATTAAGAACATTAAGTCACATGAACATTAATAACATTAATAAATTATTTGTTAGGTCCTGCAGAGCAAGCCAGGAAGCAAAATAGGGGAGCTTTCTGTACTAACATTCCGACGGGAATGTTTGAAGTGCCTTGTTAAGGTAGTCGGGAAGTTGCAGGACAAATCCCCCCTGAAGTTTCCCATGGTTCGGAATGTGGCACGTCTTCATCCCACAAAAATCTATGAAGAGCCAGAGTGGTGCATCAAGAACATGAAGAGCATAGTGCAGACGTTTCTTCAGGGCAAGAAATTGACAGGTGGAATTCCAGCTGGTAAGAAAATGTATGCGTAGGGACAGTAGAAGAGGACAGGTCATTCAAATGAAGGCCATGTTTAAGGGATGTCATTGATGTTATTCTACCTTATTTACCCTTCAGAGCGTTGTCTGTTTTGCTGTTATAAATGACTGTGTGCACATTGACTGTTTGAGAAGCTGTGATATTCTACTTTGTAATGAGCAGTTAAGCATACTGCATTGTACTTAAATGTCATAAATGATTATATCTTCATTTCTTTATCAATATTTCAGGTGATGTTATCATACAGCAGTTTACCTCCTTGACCTCAGTTGAAGGAAGGGGTGAGCGTTTCCTGTCCTTCAAGCCAGTGAAGGAGCGCCTTGATGTGTTTCTGTACACAAATCTCAGCACACCTTACCCTGAGTTATCACGGTTTTGCCAGAGTCTCCTCCTTCTATCGCATGGCCAAGCCACGGTTGAGAGAGGTTTTTCCATCAACAAGGAAGTGGAAACGTGGAACCTCCAGGATGACACACTGGAATGCCTCAGATTGGTCTGTGACAGGATCAGCAGTTGTGGGGGTGTTTTAAAGGTGCCTCTGACGAAGGAGCTCCTTGCCTCTGCCTCATCTGCCAGATCTCTATATAGACTGTTCCTGGAGAATGAGAGAAGAAAGAAGGAGAGTGCCGCACTTGCTCTGAAGAGGAAAGCAGTAGAGGAGGAGCTTTTGGACCTCAGAACCCAGCGTGAGGTACTAAGCAGAGTTTGTGAGTCGCTTCAAAATGACGCAGACAAGTTGGCCGAGCAAGCTGAGGGAAAGGCTGGGTCCAAAATGGCTGAACTTATCACAAAGTCCAACACACTTCGCAGAAGACACAAAGAGAAAAAAGAAGAGCTCCGCCAATTGGAGGAAAGGATTGAAGAGAAGTCCTCACAACTGAGACTTTTGTGACTGTCTCTCCTCTGTCTCAGTTTCACAATTTTCTCTTATTCTCCTCTTGTACTCCACTGATTTTCTCCCTTCCTGTCCATTCATCTCTTGCTTCCCTTATGTCTTTGGGAGGAAGAGGAGGACCTCTTCACATGTATGTATGTCTCTCTCTCTCTTCCACTATCACTCTTTTTCTCTGCTGTCTCCATTCCCACATCTCTCCCCCTCAATCTCAACCCCTTCTTCCCCCCACCCCCCCCCCTCTCTCTGAAGTTATCAGCTGATGAATACAGGTAAAATTGTTACAACTTCTACATTCTACATTTAATAGTGTTATAGTGCATATCTGTTCTGCACATAGAATTATGGTTATGTACTGCTAATGGTACGTCTGTTCTGCACACCAAATTGATTTTGGGACACATTCAAACTGATATCTATCTGAAGTTTCATCAACCAATAAATGCCAGTGGTTACCACCCATTACCATTTTATGGCTCATTGACTCATTTGGACATTCTCATTTGGAGTTGACAGATAATGAATTGCTTTTAAGAAAGTATTTCATTTCTTGAGTCTGTTTGTGACTGTGTGTGACATGACACACTTTTATTGATTTTTATTCACGTTTATGGTTGTTGTCATTTGTTATACGAAGTGTCAAGTTGGTGGGTTATGTTTAAGCTAAAAAAAAAAAAAAAAAGGCAGCTGATCGATGTTGTGTTGGTAGTAAAAAATATTGGGGAGGTAGTAAAAAAGGTAGTAAAAGGTAGTAAATTCAACTTTAGGATTCCTGCATATACCATGTAAATGTGATCCGTTTTTGTTTCTGCAAGGTATACAATTTGTTGTTTATTACAGAACATTTAGACACTCAAAACTACTTTATTTTAGTCAGTAGGTAGCAATAAGAAGCCTAACCCTAACCCTAACCCTCACAACCCACCCCCACCCTCCCCTTTCCCGTGAGGATGGACACTGGTTACAGCGGCCCTCACAACCCACCCCCACCCTCCCCTTTCCCGTGAGGATGGACACTGGACTATTATTTTGTCCGAATGCACCAGAATGC